AAAAAAATATTATTACATACTGCTAGCCTCGGGATCTCATCACAAAAGATCACATAAGAACTGAATAAAAAGGCAAGTGAAGGACCCGGGTAGCGATATTGGAGGTCCCACCTCAAGCTATCGGGGAGCATCTCGCCACTTTCCATTCACAGCATGGCCAGATACTGGGTAGCACCTGCAATAGCCTGATTGAGTGGGGGGAGTTTCAATATAATGTTAGACTGTGAAGCCATCCTCTCCATCCCCAACTGTCTGGATGTTGGGGGCCCGAAACTGTGACCGGCAACAAATCTGCTTGCTGGAAAGTGCGGAGAGACTGATCACCTCTCCAGTTCATGCCCAGAGAAGAAGGCCTCTGTAACTCAGGCCCCTGTCAGCCAAAATCCTCCTCTGGTTGCAGATGAGATTCCACATTAACATGAAAAGCCTTTGCCCGCTGCTTGTGCTGTTGTGGAGAAGGAGAAATGGCTGGTTGCTGGTAGTGCTAGAAGGAGGTGCTAGACAAAAAGTACTAACAGCCCCACTCCCTCTATTATTGTTAAGAGTGATGCCATAGCCTTTTTCAGAGAAATGCAGAAGATATATGACCTCAGATTAAAAAAACCCTGAAAAATGGAACAACTTAAAGAAAATTGGAAGAACAGCTAAAGGATCACCAACTCAAAATGCAGCATGCCCTTCAAAATCTACCCTGTTCTGCTCTGATAACAAACCCAAGAGAACATCACCAACTCATTCATTCCCTGGCAAACTTTCCCCACTCAGTAGAGATCCCAGTCGATTCTAAAAAAGAAAAAAAAGTACTTCTCAAACCTGAATTTTTACTCCCAGTCCTTCCCCCCACCCAAAAAAAACAACAACAAATGGCCCTGCCATCCAAAAGACTCTGAAGCCCTTCTCCTGAAAAAAAGAAAAAGATTGCCATATAATTTAGAGGAGGACGTCTGCCATATTTCCCCGACCCAGGCAGAAAGGGACAGACATTACAGAAACTAGATAAAAGATCTTAAAATATTGTCTTTCAAGAAACTCGGAGACAAGAACATTGAAGTTCCTCAAAATTCCCCAATGTGAAACGGTTTCTGTCATCCGTACTGGGTCGGAGGCATGGCAGACATGAGGAGAGGAGGCTATGAAATCCTGTAAGATGTAACCCCCAATCGCCATCCTGAAAGACGAAAAGTTGAATAAATTAAAACAGTTAAGATCAGAGAGGGCCCCAGTTGTAGGTCACCGCTCCCTCTATAGTGCTCTGAAATTAACCTATCCTTGGAGCATTGGTGGCATTTCCCCTGGCGGCACTGGCAAGACTGAGATTGGCCAAGAGTCAATAGAGGCTGTTGATGTCCTTACCCTGACAATGTTCAAGCCAGATACCCACCCTAATCTGATCCCTGATAATGGCTCTCTGGTTGGCGAGTTTGAATGCCCAGGGCCTGAAATTGGAGCCTTGTAGAGTGAGACTCGCTCGTGATCTTCAATGTCTCAGGGTGGATGTATGTTGTGTGCAGGAGACCTGGTTTTCAACTTGCAATCATGAAGACATTCTGTCTTAGGAGTTTGTCCTATATTCAGCATGTTTTGATGAACACTCGAGAGGTGTTTCCTGGCTAGTGAACAAGTCTGTAAAAGTCCCACACAGTATGTCATGAGATCTGTTACCTTCACCCGTTTGGGTGTCCCTAGCGTTGAGATTCATTGGAATGAGCTTCGCATTTCTTTCCTAGATCGGATGTGTTTGCAATTGGAAGAGAACAGCGAATTCTGAAAGGAAGCCATCCGTAAGAATTTTACATCCCTGAGAACTGTGCCTGCCATTCACCCTGAGGTGAATGCTTTTTCTAATGTGAATGTCGACTTGCTCTCAAGTTCCTCTTACAGGTGTCAGATGGCCTCTCCGACGTCCAGGTGTTTCCTAGTAAGGCATTATATAAAGTGAAAGTTAGGGGATCTGTTCGACATAATCTTCGATGACGACGGTCGGAATGAGCTCTGTTTGACAAAGCAGGAGGCTTGCTCTATGTGGCCTTGGACATACAGGTTGAAATGCCTCACTAATGATGAGGTATCACTCACCTGGCTGGTGATTCAAAGGGCCGTCAGCGTGAGCAAGAGACTTTGTTAAGCAGGCTTTGAAAAAATCTCCAAACTGTGTTGCAGTGAGTTGGTGGAGACCATGGATCACGCCTTCTTTCACTGCAGGATCGTAGGCCTGTTTGTTGAGGACATCATAGTTCGCATGCTGCACGGAAAGTTCTTTATCCTTGAGGCAATTTTCGTTTGTAGTAATATTGTGCCACCATTGTCTAAGGTTGAGCACTATGAGTTCTTTTGATCACTAGGTGTTATGTGAGTTGAGATATTGTTATGGTCCGGTTCCTTGTACCACGGTGATAGTCCAAGGTAGAACCAATAAAGAAGAACTCGAATACGGATATGAAATAACACAGATATATTACAAACAGGAATATATACAGAGAAGTAGAAAGTGTTAGTACGAACAATCAGGTTTAGTAGTACTTGTCTGAATGCGAATCTGTTTCGGACTGCCTCTGACTCGACTGACTCGCTCGCTCTGACTGACTGACAGACTTCTGACGGACATCACTCCAGACTTCAGACTGAACTCGAGACTTCAGACGGAACGATATTCAGTCACCGCCCCCCACGAGGTCGTCATGTGGCACAAGGCCTTTTTAACGTGGGATTTCCGAGCCCGTGGGCTCGGCCAAAAATATGCCCATTAACCCGTATAAATGGGTTCAGGGTCGGTTTCTTCCCCGAAAGAGAATCCGCCCTTCAGCGTAGCCTTGTTCGGGTTCCTCCCCGCCCGAAGGCAGAGAGTTCAACCGATCAGCCGGTCGTCCGACTTCAGACGGAACTCTCTGATTCCTCTTGAGGCGCAGTATTTATTACGTATGGAATAGTCTATTATGTTATTATGGGTAAGGTCCCATAACAGATATGAACAACGAAACATTAAGAATTCTATGGGGACAAGAAGTTTACCTCTTCTCAACTAATCCTGTTCTTTAGATCAGCTTAAAGTCAAGATTAGGTTGGAAAGGAAATAACACCATCCATTAGAATTTTCACATCTGTGCTGAGTAAAAAGTGCAGGATTTGGAATGGCATTTTGTTACTGGTTAAGTATTTAAGAACATTGGAATTTCTGGTTTGAACAATGGCAAGCCTGTATAGAATAGTCTAGTTTAGGTTTGTTTTGACTTTATTTTTCTGCCAAAGTTAACTTAGCTAGGGGGGTGCTCATTGGCCCTTCTTTTCTCCCTCCTATTTCTTTAGTTTAAATTCTCTTGTCCTCCCCGTTAGCTGATCAGAGTTGACAGTTCTCTGGTGGATGTTGGACATTTTTCGACTTTTGGGTGTGTTTTTTCATTTTTGTTGTTGTGTTTCGATGAGTGCATGTTTGTGTGAATGGCCTGACGATTGCATCTAGCATGAAACAGACTGTCGCCTCTAAGTGTTGACTTCTATGTTCCCTTATATATATATATATATATATATATATATAAACAGAGTACAGACATTGACATTTTGGAGTCTTGTTATTAATACACAACGTCCTGCCCTGTGTAGGCAGAGAGAATTAAAACGTAAGTTGGCTTTGTTTGGGGAGCTGGTCACCAGTTCAACGCCTAACTGGGAATTTTTTTTTATTCCCTTGCCTAGTTTGGGTATATTTTAACACCAGTTGTTGAAAACAATTTTTCTTTTCAAATACTTAGTTTTATTTGCAGACAATATTATTTCTTCTGAGGATGTGTCAGCTGAAAGGTACCTAAAATTTTAATCGTTGTGATACTTTTGTATAAAAAAAATATGATTTTCTTTTTTTAAAGATCATTTTATCCTGGTGTGGCAATAATCTGTTTAAGTATTTTCGGGATCGGTATGGTCATAATTTCACTAAGACCCTCAATAATTCTATCCGGTTGAGGAGTAAGGTATGATCCTGTAGCAAAAAAGAAAAAAAAAAATTGGTTTTAAAATTATTGTAGTAATCAGTTTCTTCTCTCATCTGCGACAATTGTAACCAATTCAACACAGCAGTCGACTGTCTTTTTCCTGCCTTTTCTTCATGCTTTCCATTTTTATCATTGAAGGCAAAATTTGTATACGCAGAAAGATAATCTCGCAAGAGAGTATCTTATTCTGAGATCTATTTTAAATATATGAACTGCAAAGCTGTCATTTCTTTTTCTGTTGGATAGTTTACACCGTGATGTATGTTTGAATCTTTGCTTGCACTAGAGGTATGTTCTTTAGTTTATTTTCGTGTTGCAAAAAACATATGCAACACTGAGTCTCTTTGTGGCCTGACGATTGCATCTAGCATGAAACAGACTGTCGCCTCTAAGTGTTGACGTCTATGTTCACTTTTATATTTACACATGCTCTATCTCTGATATAGAGCATTTTATCCCATGAATATAGCACATCTTAAGACTATATTTCTTCATATATATATATATATATATATATATGCATTTACTGAAAGCAAAAGAATGTGAGAGAAAATCAACTCTCCTTTCCCTTTCACATACGAGTTCAATAGAAGAATTTACTGAACTCTCTAGTCTTAGGTGGCAACTAACCAAAGAGAAGGAACACTGAATTCTAAAACCGTGAAGAAAGCTATGGGGAAACCCTTTCACTATCTTTCCCAAGAATGCTTGGTAATTCACAGATAATGAAGAAAAGCAATCTGTGGAGAGACAGGATTGCCTACGTCTTTAAGGAAAAGCATGATTCCATCTCTTCTTTATGCAACTATGTGTTAAGTAGTTGGCTAGATTAAACTTTCTAGCAACCAACCTAAGGAAAAAAACTCTGAAGTCCAAGGACTAAAAAATGACAACAACTAGAAAGTCAAATTTAACAGATTTTATTGACGCTATTCTATTAAATTGTGCAACATGTTTACAACTAGAGGAAGTAAAAAGTATCCATTAAAGTGAAATGACAAATCCCACACCAGTTCATTCATTGAAGATGTCCGCAGGCAGTTCCTCTGGAAGTGGAGGCAGGAGAAAATCTGAACAATTGAAACTGAAAAATTAAAGAAAAATAATGCAAATTATGAAGTAGGGACATTTCTATTATGGCTTTCGAAATGGTTATTTTAAAAATATACAAGGTGTCAGTTTTCTGAGGACACGTCTTTCAAAATATCAGTCTTTTAATTTATTTTTATTATATTCTCTTTTCAGGTAAATGTCAGGCATCAAGTTGACTGAACAAATAAAAAGGTAAGCAGTAATCATTACCTAAAAAGACAAAATAGTAATATAGAAAGAACTGGCTTGCTGAAATTTGTCAGTTCTCGTGCTATGTAAGTTTGTAAGGAACCAGATGCTGCTGACAGTGATCCAATAACATCTAAATGCAAAATGCATGTTAAGGGTCTTAATATGATAAGAATACATCAGAATTTTGTATGAAAATTCCAGAAAATAATAATTGCCAAAGAAAGTCAATCAGAGCCATTCGAAAAAATGACAATGTTTGGTTTGGTTTGTTTTCATCTACGGTATATCAACCTCAATAGGTTATTTAACACAGACAAAATTTTTATTGTTGGTAATATTTTGTTTTGTCAAATTCTATTTCTGGTATTTTTCCTTCAAAAATGTATGGTAATAGATTTTTTTTCTTCATATCTCTGATATCTATATTAAAACTTATTTTTACACTTTCATAGTGTTTTTACCCCAGTTTCAGGGTTAACTATTTGCCCATAGCTGGGACCCTAACAGGTGCTACCGCCCTTGGTCAGGGTGGACCTGGCAACACCAGCAATTAAGAGGTGGTTCCATGCTCCACAAAACCTCCTGATCAAAGGCCTTGTTGCTGGACGTAGTTTATCGTCTTATCCAGGACACAGATGTAGTTTATTGTCATACCCAGGATGGAAAAGATGACATTGTGTCAGAGTGCACTAATCCAGAGAGTTGTAAAGGAGGACATCTGGTAAAGAGCGTATAAGATGCAAAGTCGGTTAATGTTGGAAAAGACAAGAGGAACTTGTTTAATCACTGCAAAGCACTTGCTAAACAAGTGAAATACCAAGAGGCTCAGATGTTAGACTAAAGGAACAACAGATGGTTATGCAGACACCTGACTAAGGTTGCAACAGTCATGCATACCAAGCTCTCAGCAATTGTGATGGTTCTAGCAGTTGTCAGTAATGAGGGAGATGTCGTGCATCTTCACTTCTTGCCTCACAACATCTCAGTCACAAGGTGTTGGAGTGTTGTAGAGTTATTTCGCAGTGGAGGCTTGTATTTGTACTAAATCGGTCCTAAAATAGATTCGACGTACAAAACGTTAGGAACTTGACATAATAGGTATTACGCAGAGAAATCTTGTTGTGGTCGCTGATACTTTCGTATTTGACTAACTGTCGGCCGACATCGACTGATTGACTGACCTATTACTACTCCTACTTATTATAGGTGGGAGAGTCTCTTAAATATAGAATAAGTGTGTTTCACCATAACACCCCCTCCCAAAACTTTACTCCGTAGGAGAAAACAGTTTTCTTTCTTTACTTTTTACAGGAAATATGAAGAAAAAACAAAAAAAAAAACTTCATTTTTTTTAGCAACATCGTAGCATATCTCCTACATTTTGGATCCACTTTTAAATGATCAGTTGCTTTTCTTTTTCTCCTGGATCAGCGTACCTCAGGTAAAATTGTTGCAGGCGTTGTTAGAGCAAACATATCGAAAATCACCTCCATCGGTGTTTCTTCCACAGGGCCGCTGTCAACTACGTCTGAAGCACATTGTCTGATCTGGTTAATGTGCCATCTGCACGTGAATTTTTTGCCTTTCACCAAGTACATCATATTGCCAATCCGCTTTTCTATTCTTCCAATCTCCCAAAATGATTTATTCTGCTTATAGACCTTAAAATATATTTTTTACCAGAATTGTATTTTTTTACTTGAATAAATTTTTCTTTACCTGGCTTTGTTTTTTCTGGTAATAATTTGTCGAAGACAGATCTTACCCGACGTGCGGACATCACCTCGGCTGGCGACTGTAAGGCTGGTGTTCCATTATTTGGAGTAATTCTGTATACCTGTAGAAACTTCTGTAGGGCTTCATCTGCAGATATTTCCCTAGCTTTCTTTAGAGCTCTTTTTAGGGTGTCCACAAATTTTTCAGCTAACCCTTTTGATCTTGGGTTATTTGGAGCTATGGTAACATGTTCGACGTTGTATTCCTTGTAGAAATCTTTAAATTGTTTCGACGTAAACTGACTTCCGTTGTCCGTCACAATTGTGTCTACTACACCAAACCTTGCGAACAATTCCAGCAGGAAAGTTTTAGTACTTTGCATCGTCAGATTTCTTATCCTTTGTATCTCAGGCCATTTCGAGAAACTATCCACTACTATGATGTAATGGTATCCATTCAGTGGACCTGCAAAATCCACATGTAACCTAGACCGTGGTAGATCTGTTTTTGGCCAGGGGTTAAATTTTATTGGGGGTGCCTTTGCAGCTAAAGCACAGCCTTTACATTTTGCCACTGCATTTTCAATGTCCCTGTCCATATTCGGCCAATATACAAAACCTTGCATCAGGCTCTTCATCCTAGTGCTGCCCAAGTGACCATTATGAAAATCTTAGTATTTGCTTTGTGCAGTGTGTATGGAATCACCACACGTTCTTTGTATAACAATACTGTATCGCAAAGCAAAAAAACATTTGTTGTGTACTGGTCCCTCTCGGCTATTTTTTCTTTTATTTTCAAGATATACTTGTCCCTGGTGGCTTCTTTTATTTTTTCTAGAGTTACCAGAAGTTCCCGAACTGCATTACACACAGTCAATTTCAGCTCTTCTGACTTCAGTGAGGCAATTACCATGTCTTCTAATGGTTTGCTCATTTTAGGAATTAACCTGGACAACCCATCAGCATAGCCAAATTTATTCGATGGTATGTGCTCCATGCTGAAGTTATAATTTAGCAATATTGTACCCCATCTCTGAAGGCGGTTGGCTGTATGCGCTGGCAAACCCTTTTTCGATCCAAAAATCGAAATTAGAGGCTTATGGTCAGATTGTAGCATAAAATGTCGACCGTGGAGAAAACGGTGAAATTTTGCCACTGCAAATATTATTCCTACTGCCTCTTTCTCTATCTGAGAGTAATTCTTCTCAGCCGGAAGTAGTGCTCTAGAAGCATGAGCAATTGATTTTACTTGACCATTTGTCATTTTGTGTAAGATACATGCTCCTACTCTCCACGCACTTGCGTCGCAAGCTACTATGATCTCTAAATCCGGGTTGTAATGGGTTAAAAATAATTCCGAGGTTAACACTTCCTTTTTCTTTTCAAATGCTTCCTGGCATTCATTAGTCCATTTCCAGGGATTTCCTTTCTTCAGTAGTTCATTTAATGGTGCCCGAAGATCATACATTTTAGGGATGTATATTTGGTAATAATTAGCTAATCCCAAAAAACTTTGTAATGTGGTAATATCATTCGGAGCCGGCATGTCTTTTATAGCCGCTTCTCGCTCTGGGTCTGGCCTTCTACCATTCTTATCAATGATCTGCCCCAGATATTTTATTTTCTCCATAGAAACTCACATTTGCTTTCCTTGAGTTTAAATCCAAAATCCTGTATTCTTGAAACTACTTCATTTACATGTTTCACGTGTTCTGCTATACTTGTACTTCTCATGAGGATGTCGTCCAGATATGCCACAGCAAAATCTAGACCACCCAACATCGAATCCATTACCTGTTGGAAAATGGCATGTGCGGCTTTGATCCCAAAAGGTAGTCTGTTAAATTTATACAGACCCTGATGTGTGCTTATACACAAAAGTTTTGACGGTTCTTTTTCTACCGGTATTTGCAGATATGGGTCACTGAGGTCTATCTTCAAAAATATTGTGCCTCCATTAAGCTTCGCAAATATTTCTTCCGCTGTTGGTAGAAGATAATTATAGTCTTTGAGTGCCGCGTTTAAACCCGTTGAGAAATCAGCACAAACACGAATTTCTTTAGACTTTTTTTTCACATATACTGTCGGTGTTGCCCATTCACTATACTCAACTTTTTCAAGTACACCAGTTTTCTCTAACCCGTCCAATTCTTTATCTATCTGTTCAATTGAGGCAAATGGCACATTCTTTTTCTTTTAGAATACCGCCTGAGCGTTTTCTTTTAGCTGGAATTTTTCCTCCATCTTGGTACACGTTCCCAACCCTGGAGAAAAAACAGTAGGAAATGTTTCCTTAAGTTTCTTTACTAATTTTGGGGCTTCTACCTTGTAACAGAAAGAATTTATCGGTAGATCCCGTAATTGGAATTCTGTTATGCAATTCGTACCAAGTATGTTTGTGGTATTTTCTATGACAAATAGTTTAATAGTTGTAACAAATTCACCAATAAATTGTATTTTTTCTCCCGTCACTGACCTCGCGATTTTCTTTGTCTTCATTAAAGTTGGTTTCCCCACTTCTTCCACATATGCAAATTTATGATAGATAGGTCAGAATCAATGTCGAGCTGCATTTTTATTTTTTTATTACTTATTTCGACGGTAACAAATTTTCTGGTTATTCCATCGTTCACCTCGTTGGACTTTAATTTTCTTATTTTATTGTCTTTATTTTTTGACCTGCAGTGCAAGCTTTTCTGACCCACTTTTTTACAGTTGAAACATTTTTTATTCCTAAAATTGCAATATCTGTACCAGTGTAGTTCACCGCAAGCAAAACATGGCTTCGGGAGTTTTTGTTTATTTTTCTCTGGTATTTCACTTTTTGCTTAATAATCCCCAATTTTAGAATTCTTTTTGGTAGACTTTCTTTTTTGCAGCGTATTTTCCTTACATGTGAAACGCCAGACTGTTCTATCTTTTTTAAAATCTTTATTTATGCTAACATATCTTGTGCAGTCTTCTGCCAATTTCTGTACTTTAATACTTGGATCGCTTTCCCATTTTGCCAGTACTAATTTTCTCAACTCTGCGTCTCTTTCCGATACCAGCCCCTGAACAAACACCAAGCGCTTAAAATTGTCTGTGCTTAACTCTGCCAGCTTGAATTCTTCACAATGCTTATTCACATTGGCTGCGTACGTTATATAGTCTTGTTCGTCATCTTTCATCAGATTCAAACATTTCCACCTCTTGTGGAATAGAGATGTCTTTTTACTAAATAATTCACTTAATATATTTACCGCCTCGGTAAATGTCAACTTCTTTTTTTTTTTTTTGGTAAAATGTAGTTTACCAATTTGTTATGCTCAGCAGTTCCTAATTTGCTTAAAAGAAGCCTAACCTTCTTTCCTTCAGACCACGAGTGGCAGTCCTCGTTATACATGTCCGTATATTTTTTATAATACTCCTCAAAAGTTATCTCTTCATCTGGACTGTACGTGAATATTTCAATTGAATTCCATATTGTATTCTCTGGGAAAGAATCATTTTGTAGATTTTTCTCTTTCCTCTTCTCAGTTATTTCCAGAATTTTGTTTTGAAACTCCCTATGCATCTGTTCCATTTTTTGTTGGAATTGCATTTGTCTATTAAAAGTTTCCTCCTGTAGCTACATCTGGAATGTTTTTTGTTGCTCTAATATTGTCATCTGTTGTTCCGACTGGAACTTAAAGCATTCCTGGAATATATTTTTGCATTACTCCATCTTCGCAAAAAGTTTACAATGCTTAAATACTGTAGAGGGGGGGGTCAAAACGAATTTGCAATTCGTGACCTATTTGAGCAAACTGTATTATCGGGAAAAAAAATTTCTTTTCTCAGTTGAGAATACGACAGATTTTTTCATCACTAAGTTGACGTCTTGGCTTGTGAATCTGAGATTTTGTCACCAAAGTTATTGTAGCGAGCGAATTTTTTCTTCCTCCGTATGAGTACGAATTTCATCACCAAAAATTGTTATGGCAAGCAAATTTTTTTTTCCCACCATATGAGTACGAATTTCATTGCCAAAAATTGTTATGGCGAGCGAATTTTTTTTCTTCCACCATATTGAGTTCGAATCCCTCGTTGCCAAATATTGTTGTGGAGTTATTTCACAGTGGAGGCTTGTATTTGTACTAAATCGGTCCTAAAATAGGTTCAACATACAAAACGTTAGGAACTTGATATAATAGGTATTACGCAGAGAAATCTTGTTGTGGTCGCTGATACTTTCGTATTCGACTAACTGTCGTCCGACATCGACTGACTGCCTGACCTATTACTATTCTAATGATATTAGGTGGGAGAGTCTATTAACTATAAAATAGGTGTGTTTCACCATAACATGTAGAGAGTTGTGAAGCCCTAGAAAGATAATGTACACAATGGAAGACTGTTCATCTTCCAACAAGACTCTTCTGTACCATTTCATAAGGCTAAGACAACCCAAGTAAGGATGCATGACAACCTCCAGGATCCTGTTCTCCCAGACACATGACCTCCTAGCTCAACAGAGCTGAATCAACTGGATCACTGGATGTGGAGTGTAGTTGAGAGGTCAGTCAGTCAATGTCTCTATAACACCATAAAATTCTCAAGTCTGCTATAACCAGTACTATGTACAAAATTGATAAAGATCATCCAATTTGGGCATGTCAACGCTTCCAACTTCAAAGTAGCTATTGATGCTAACAGTGCCAGTGAGTTCATTGAATAGGTATGATAAAAGGATATGTACCAATTTGTCTTCAAATAAAACTTTTCTTTTGCAAAATATGTCTTCTAAATTCATGCAAAAATCTGATGCATGCTCTATATACAAAAATTTAAAAAATGATGTTAGGAGAAGAACAAGGGCAAGAATAAAGAAATTACTTGCTGTAAAATATTGGAATGATCCACTGCTACCTTTAGCGCATACTGTTGGCGCATCATTTTGCTGTATGGGTTTTCCTCTGTAGCTGTAGGCACATTGTGCTGCCTTGAAAGGGAAGCTTAAAATAAAGTTTACTTCCAGTATTTTAAGCTAGAAACAGTCTACTTTCAATTCAGAATAGGGCTAATCTATTTTCCCTTTGTATTGTTCATCACTTGATCCCAGGTGCAGAATTTTTTTTAAATTGAACATAGATTTTGTTCCAGATGAAAGTGGCCATACCTGCATTTGATGAAACTTTTCTTGAAGAAATATTCTTTGATTTAGACTCAGATGATCTTGAGTGATTAACTCAGGCAGATATCGATGGTGAAAAATTAAAGTAAATTTAAAAAAAAAAAATTTTTTATCCTTTTTCATTCTCCCCTTTTTGCTATATATACTTTGAAAATGTCTATTTATAAAGCCCTAAGAAAATTTTGTAGAACTACATCCAGCCAGATTATTGTCGTTTTTGTTTAGGTTAATTTACAAGATTTGAGCAGTCAGAACTAATGATATATTAAGTCAATAACTTAATATGAACTACAGTTTATTTATAAACCATATGTCTTAAGATTAATTTACAAGATTTCAGTCCTCAGAACTAATGATATATTACTTTGATATAAAAAAACATTTCTTTATCATTCTTCCTTATTTGTATAAAAGTCAAAATCTAACTTACACAGAAGTTTCAAAATCCATCACATCATGATTGCTGAAAAAAATAAATTAAATAATAATTGTATTTTGAAATCTCTTTCTACATGTCTGTGCTTGTATGTAATATCAAAAGAGTAACATAGCAATATATATATATATATATATAAGTGCGTAGGTATGCAGAAAATAGAAAAGAACACGTTGGGTGCATAATCTGGGGTTCCTTAGCATTTTTATTTTTATTTTTAAGAAGACAGTGCTCCATACAGAAGTAGAGCTTTATTATAATAATATTTTTTTGTTTAAAAAAATATGATTCCTTTTGCTACATAAGAGTTCTCATGTTTCAAAAAAATGAGGCGAAATCATCTAAATAATTATTAAAATTAAGTTGAATTGTTTTGTTGTGGGACTAAACACCACAATTCAACAAAATTTAATAATTATTTGGGACTAAACACCACAATTCAACTTAATTTTAATAATTATTTGGATGATTTTTTTAATTTTTGAAAACATGAGAACTCTTAATAGCAAAGGAATCATATTTTTTTTTTATTATTATATATATATATATATATATATATATATATATATATATATATATATATAGATCTTTCCATTTTCAAACAAACTTTTTTAATTAAACAATGTAAACAATTGAAGAATATTGCATTATCTAAATTAACATTTAATGTCTAATTATTATATCTGATATCTTCTGGAATATCTGACTAGGCTACATTAAAAGCACAATGGACCTCTTTAGTAGAGTTTCTCAATCTTTTTCATTCTTTCACAATTGAAAATGGCCAAGAGATGTTCAATTACTGTCAGGAGAAAGACTTGAATGTGAGAATAAATTATCAACTTTTCAGAGTAGCTATTTCTGAATCTTTTTCACTGCATAGTATGGAATTCAATCAGTCATTAAATTTCTCTTGAACAATGTTCATTTCTCTGAATTTTTATTTTTCCAAATAACAATTGCTCTGCAAAATATCACTGAGAATTTCCAATGTATATTCTTGTGTTGCCAGTTGTTCAAATAAACTCTTGCAAATAATTATAAATCTGTAAAGGTGAAGCAACCATTGAAGTGTGCATCCACTGCTTTCTCTATTGTATGTTTAAGAAGTGGCTTTCTACTGCCTGCTCCGCCATAATTAATTGAATTCATTTCTACAAGTAGAAAGGGCTCACTTGTTTTGAAAATAAGCATTCAAAATTATGTCTTTTACTAAAAATTGAACCTTATCCTCTGGTGCCCATGAGAAATCTATTCACAAGACATACTTCACAGAAAAAATTAACATTGACTGTTTTTTTTAAAGCCCTACTTTGTATCCCTTATTGCAACACTCATTTCATTTGATTTCATAAATAAAACTATTACTCACATGTTCATGAGCGCATTGGAATTGGTTTGCTCATCATCAGCGTCACTGAAAGAGAATAAGAAAAAATCTCAATAAGGTTTTGACGAATAGGCACCAATTATTTGCATATAGTAAAAGAACTCACCTAGAATAAGTATATAATTGGTGCAAACCAGGCTGAAAGCTTACTAAGTAGTTATATGGCCATAATTCTTATTATTATGTCTGTTGATAAGGAATAAAACCAATTAATATTAACCAAAATAGCCTACCTATGACAATAGTATGTTGGTCCCCTTAAAATTACTCACTTATCTGAGCAACCCTTCCACTTGTTAAAACAGTCCAGAGAATCCTGTTTCAGGATTGCCATCAGTTGCATTTTCACATTCTGCTTCATCTAACGCCTCATCTGAAATTCATTTTCACTAGATTACAGCGCCTTCCAGTCTTAGTTTTCTGAAGCATTTGGTCTCACCTTGGTATTTCCTGTCACAATGACATGGAATCTTGGCAATTTCTCTTGTTGACACCTCAGGTGCCAGGCAATAAACCTAACCCCCTTCTGAGAGAGAGTTATTGCATTAGGGGAAGGGTCCCTGGAACCTAGGCTTAATATGTTTAAAGAATATGAATCCCAGCCAAAGATCAGGATAAAGCTTAGATATTGTGAAGTGAATGTTATATTCTAATATATAAATTCTTGAATCCACAAAGTGTGCAAGTTCAACCAGAAAAAAAAAAACACTTAATTTTCCTTTCTCATTGTAATTTGTATTGGTTATTTTATTGGTTTTATATAGTCCAGCATTATTTCCCAGTCTTCCTGGTGAGATTGAAGTATGAGATTAATGAAGATAATAGAAAACCCATAGCCACACCCTTCTTCCTGTTGATATAAATTAGATACAAAATATCAATCTGTCTAGAAAATTATCCGTTGAGTTGTACAATAAATATGGCAACCAGAAAATAATCATTTTGTTGAATTTTTTTTTTATTTAAAAAAAAATATTCACTCAATACAAAGCTCAACGGCCTCTCATGGTAGAGGATTATCATGTGGTATTGTAAGAGTGTAAGAAAGAGCAAGAAGTGAAATTCTTGAGGTTAAGCAGAAAAGATAACAGCTAACTCTAGATTTGAAAGATTTAATTAATGAATAACAATTCAGAGTTAAGGCTGAGACATTAGAATTATAGAGTTGAAGTAAACTTTAGAAGGAACCAGAAACCTAATCCTAAACAGGAAACAATGATAAAACCTCTACTCCTGTTCAGAAGACCAGGGAAGAGTGTGAACCGGACGATAGGCGAGCCTATCTCCTCATATTGTATCATTTCTTTTCATTCAAATTTATGACAAATAAAAATTAAGTTTTATATAATTTAAACAGGAGCTTTAGTTTGCTATGTAAGCTCATATTGTAAATTGATCATCCTATGGAAGTCAAAACAAAATATGCTCATACAATGTGGTTTCTTAAAATTTAAAAATTAAATTTTGGGGTCAAATCTTTCATGAATAGATGTAAAAAAAAAAAAAATCCAGATTATAATTTCTTTTTTCATTTTAAGAAATCATGTGATCTGAGCATATTTTGTTTTGGCTTCCATAGGGTGATCAATTTAAAAGGAAGTTACATAGCAAACTGAACCAACAGCTTCATCTTAAGTGTGCTATGAAATAAAATATTGTCACAGCATACAAATGTGTGTGTATGTGTGTTTGTGGAAGTATTAATGGTACAACATTAGTATTTGAATAAATGAATAAATATTAAACTTTTTGAAATAATTCTTTTCACTATTCTTTATGTTATTTTAGATATTTTGTTTTAATATTCATTCTTTAAAAGTATTTTTATTTTTGATTTAACTTTTTAAAAGCATTTAACATTTTTAGGGATCAAAGGCACAAAATCAAACATTCAACGGTAGCCATTGAAACATTTTTGATTTCAATACAAAAGGAATCTCCCTCATTAGCTAAAAAGACTTTATCATTTTTATTGTAATTTTCAACTTCTTATTTATGTGAATTTGGCTCCTCAACCCTAAGTAACATCAAAAATAAGAAGTGAGAAAGACTACGCTCAACTGAAAAAGAAATGAGGGCCTGCTTATCGCACATTTGACCAAACATTGATGAAATCACAAAAAAAAAATAAATACTAGGCACAAGTTTCACACTAAATAAGCTGCATTTGCTGGTTCCCAGACGTCATGAGTTCCAGCACCCTACGAGGCTGGCATCCCGCTCTCATCCCTTCACTGTCAAAACTCCTAAATGTAGCCGTCTCTTCTACTCTAATAGCTTCATGTCTTGCACCTCTCGCCTGTGGAACTCTCTTCCTTTCTCCTGTTTCCTTGTGAGCTATAATCTCCAGCTAAATGTAATGTCAATCGACATCTCCAGTTGCCTTGATCTATCCACTACCCAAATCCTTTCTTCTATCACTCCTATCTGATCTTGTTCTAAATTTTCTGTAACCCCTTGCGTCCTAGTGGCTTCTCGCCTTGCTTGGGGTGAAATGCTTAAAAAAAAAAATTAAAAAAAAAAAAAAAAAGTAAGTTTAAAAAAAAATAATTTAATTTTGCTAAGTTTGCCATGATATTTTCATTGGCTCCTAGGTGTGCTGTTGATTAAAAAGGTTGAGAAACACTGAATTAGTCTTTGTTTTTAAGATCAGATACTTCTTCATACTACTACATAAAACAGTTTCAATGAAAAGGACCATTTCTTTTTGTTATATGTTTCATTAGAAGAGAGTGGTGGCAGCTTGGACTCTAAGAGACAGTGGGAGGAATGACATCATAGGAATATATGTCGTACATTGGCTCAGCATCCCTCCACAAGTGGTCTTAAACAGTCTCTCAACCTGGGTGTGGGATCTTTATCAACACTTCAGAATTCTTGCAGTCCTCTGTTGAATATGCACCATTTTGGACTTATATCCAAAACTCAAAGACAATTTATCACTGTTAGAATACTATACCCATCAGGCACTCTGGCCAATTGCTGGCCATTCAGGCTTTGTCCTTCACATTCTGTAACAAGCCTAGTTGATTAAAGTATTGATTCATGAATTTAGTGACATGGTAATTGTGAGTTCAATCCCTGGGGTAGATAGTGCAGACACAGACTTAATGGAAACAGAACAGACAATAATTAAGAAGTACTAAATAAGAACTAAATAAGATATCCCTAGAGTACAACCTACCATCTGCAAAAAAAAGAAAAGGTTACTCTGATGAGAGTACAACAACAAAAACAGTGATAATAAAAGAACAAAGATGAAGACAATAGTTCACATATAAATTCTTCAGCCTTAAAATTCGGACAGAAACAAAACATTGTAGAACATTCTAGCATGTTCCAAGAATTCTGGCAAGTCAGTTACTGAGTTCTCGGTAAGAAAAATGTGAATTTTTGAGTTTTGTCATCAATAAAATAAATGTAACAAAGTTCTTACCTTTCATAACTAAGATTAAAATCTCTTTCCTCATAACCTTTGTTTTTCAGAGTTTCATCAGGATCTGAAATGAGTTTCAAATAGAAATTTATTTGGCTTAACAAGAAGAACCTAAAGAAAGGTTGACAGATCCAAAGACAATTTTTATTCCCAAAAAGAAAGTTTCAAAGCTGAAGAGGCCCACTGCTGCCTCTCAAGCACTTGATTTTTCATTAAAAGCATTAAGCACATGCCAACCATTTATTTATATTACTGACCATAAGAAATTTTGCAAAAATATTGTCTCCCAATATTATCCAGTGCTTTATTATTATAAAATACTATATATTCTTTATTATAATATATAATATTATATATTTCTTTTATTGTGATATTATACAGTTTATACATTTTTATTATTATGATAATATATATTGTTTTATTGCTATATCATACAGTTTATATATATGAGTGGTTAGAACGTTAGCATTCGGACCATGAGACCCAAGTTCAAATCTCACCATGGTCAATTTACCAGGAAGGAGACTTCCTGGTTTTATCAGACTGGAGGGGTCGATCCCAGTGTGCAGCACCTTTGGAAAGTGCCTGAAAACCATACCATAGGTTGATCTACGCCTTGCGAACGAAATTGAAATCTTTGGGGCCGTTGATAGCTGTGCTAGCACAAAGTCACAAGTCATCGTGGCCAAGGGCTTGAGTGTGCTGGCCTTGTTCAAATTGTTGATCATGCTACATAACATGTTCTCTCCCAGAAACTGTATCTAAGGTCTACTTAGCATAGTTGCAGTATAAACCACAGGAAAGATCTGTAAGTTGTGAATAAACACAAATGTGTTTGAGCAAACATCTGCAATAGGGACTGGCTAGCCGCCATAGTAGATGGGTATCCTTGAATATTAGTGGCTAACTATACATACATACAATTTATACATACTACATATTAATATTATAATGTTATTATAATATATATATATATATATATATATATATATATATATATATTACATATTAATGTTATGATCTATTTTTTTAAATTTTATTATAATATTTATTATATATTCATGTCTTATTGTTATTATAGTGTCTATATAGATTTTATTAATATATATTATATTTGTTTTATTGTTATGTTATGCAGTTTATATATTCTTATTATATTATATAATATAAGTTTATGCTTTTTATTATTGTATCATATTATATTATTAATGATGATATAAAACAGCTTTGTAATATTTTATAAATGTGCAACTGAATCGTTTCTGCTTTCACTTTGAAAACTAACGAAATTGTGACATTGCAAATATCTTTACGAAGGAAATCAACATTCCAAGAAAGTGTCTGTGTATTCAGATACATATCATGGAGTAGCTTTGAAATATATATATTACTAACCAAAATGTAAAAATTACATTCTTTCTAATTTAATTTTTTTTATACTAGATTTCAAAATTAAATTCAAATCCAACCACAAAGAAGCCAATAACGTCACTCTCCTCCAACCTCTTTCAAAACAGCACAAATAATGATATTAATATATCTGTCTATATCTCTGAGATGAGGTATTATGATTACTCGCATTATTTACATTATTCAGTTTCTTATCCTCATCTTCATTGCCATATTCACAATGTTTCAGCCTCTATATCTCTCACATGAGGTATTATGATTACTTGCATTATTTACATTACTCACACTGTTATCCTCATCTTCATTGCCATATTCACAATGTTTTGGCCATTGTACACTTCAGCTTCAGGATGGTCAAAAGGTAGAAATGCTGAAACATTGTGAATATGGCAATGAAGATGATGATAACGATGCGAGTAATGTAAATGATGCAAGTAATCATGATACCTCATCTCAGAGATATAGAGGCTGAAACGTTATGAATATGGCAATGAAGTTGAGGATAACAATCCAAATAAAGTAAATAATGCAAGTAATCATAATACCACATCTCAGAGATATAGAGGTCGAAACGTTGTGAATAGGGCAATGAAGATGAGGATAACAATCTGAATAATGTAAATAATGCAAGTGCATTGTACTTGGTTCACATATTTTTCTAATCTTGCTGAGGGTGTCAAAAGCATATACAGTATTAGAGGCATCAAGAGAATAAGTGTTCTTATGCACTATTTTTTGCAGGCACAAAGGTTAAACATTGCTATGAATTCTTTCTTTTTATGTCCACATTTTTAATATAAAGGCAAGCACCTGTCTATATCTCTGAGATATTATGATTACTTGCATTATTTACATTATTCGGACTGTTATCCTCATTTTCATTGCCATATTCACAACATTTTGGCCTCTATATCTCTGAGATGAGATATTATGATTTCTTACATTATTTACATTATTCGGTTTCTTATTTAGACTGTTATCCTCATCTTCATTGCAGTTTCTGCTTCCCAATAACAATTTTACCTTCAATTTTGGTTCCCATGATTCAAATCGTCATCATAAAAAAGGGAAGTATTATTTCTCTTGACTTACCTTCCTTTGTTATCGAATAATTTTGAAATGCTTCACTTTTTGGTCGATTAGGATACAGGTAAAGAAACTTTTTTTGTTTTTGTATAAGTTTGACAAGTGAATGATTCTTCAGTTCCTCAATTTTAAATGGAGAAAGATGTTTGATGCTTTTAGAGCCTGAAAATAAACCAAAGTTTGACAATAAGTTACAATAAGTCTATTTTCAGGTGATACCAAGATGTAAATACAGACAACAAAAGCTTTGTCTTTTGTAATGAGATGATATAGTAACTTGGGTTCCTCACTCAGCAGAGTGACTATGGAAACATTAACTGTGAGCTGTTAAAAAAAAAAAAAAAGAAAAAACCAGGGGAGATAACTAGCACACATGACACTGACTAAACAAAATCTAAACAAAAATAGTAATTTACACTATTTACATTTGGACTATCGTCCTTATCTTTTTTGTTGTTATCACAGCATTTCAGCCATCGTGTCCTCTGGTCTTTGCCAGGTGTATATCGATCTGGGTAACATATATGTAGTTCTGAACAGAAGCATTTATTTAATCTGCTGGGGTAGACTGTTCTCCTTCTCCTGGATGAGATGTCTCTAAATATAGACAGTGAAATGAGAACAGTCTACTGAAGATTCAAAGTTTAAGTGGCTTTTTGTTTCCATTTTAAAACTTTCCCATAACATTTCTATTGTGTTTCAGGTCTTCTCTTCATCTGTGATTTTTTTTTCTGGAAAGAATTTTATCAGTTCAAAGCATATTTTTTCTGGGGCAAAAAAAACATTATCATTCAGGATTATATTTTCTTAGGTGCAAAAAATTTACTGTCTTAGGGACAAGATTATTTCTATGATAACCTAACTTCAAGATTAAGAATGAATTGACCAAAACATAAAATTAAAATGGTTCAAAATAATTTTCAAATATTAATATACATTTATTGAATGTTAATAAATCAGCTCAAAATCTCAAGTAAAGGCAGGGTTATTAATGTGAAATTTTCTGTATTTCTCATATGGTAAGACACTACAAATGGTACTAGTACTAGCAAGTCAAAGTCACCAACTCTACAGTGTCGCAACAAATTATCACATTCTGTATCTATTATTAAATATTTGTGACTATTATTAATTAGATTTTCAATTGTTTAGTACAATGTTATACCTATTCATATTAGTAAAATCTTGTACTTGTTGCCGCAAGGAGTATCAACATACAATATATTTATATACGACACCCAGCTGATGTTTCAGGCCTGTGTTCAAGAATGTAAATGGTGTGTTGTTTTGCATCATCACTACCAGTGTTCACTATTATTGTATGAATCCATTATCAACTATCCATTTGTATTATTATAGATGACATTTGCCAGGCACCATCACCATATATAAATATGGTGGATAGTAAGTACTGGGCATTGTCAGTACATTTAAAATTATAACGGTGGACCTATTGAGCTAACTGATTGGTTTCAATAGTACACAAAGAGTGGTAATTAAGTTGGTATTCTTGGTGTATATATGAAATGTAACTGTCAGCCTGTATTACATGCCTGGGGTTGGGGTATCTATGGTATGCCTAAATCAGTGGTTCTGGATCTTGGGGGTCTATGATAATATTTTAGTGGTCCATAGAGCAATTTCATTTTGGAACAGTTTTTACAATTGAGAATTGGTTGGTTGGGTTTTATGGCATATCAACCACTGTAGGTCATTTAATGCCAAATTTACTTATAAGCTATATATATATATATATATATATATATATATATATATATATATATATATATATATATATACACACACACACACACATATATATATATATATAACAATACAAATATTAAATATATCGTACTATCAAACGTATAGCTGGCAACATTATTTTTTCAAAAACGTATAGCAGGCAACATTATTTTTTCAAAAGTGTATAGTTGGCAACATTATTTTTCAAAAAATGTATAGCTGGCAACATTATTTTTCCAAAAACGTATAGCTGGCAACATTATTTTTTTCAAAAATGTATAGCTGGCAAAACATTATTTTTCCAGAAACTTATAGCTGGCAACATTATTTTCCAGAAACTTATATATGGCAACATTATTTCTCCAGAAACGTACAGCTGGCAACATTATTTTTCCAGAAATGTACTATTGGCAACATTATTTTTTCAAAAACATATAGCTGGTAACATTACTTTTTCAAAAATGTATAGCTGGCAACATTATTTTTCCAAAAATATTATCTGAGTCCTTGCTGTTGGATGTAGTTCATCGCCATACCCAAATAAATGGATTGTAGTTCATCGCCATAAACCCAGGACGCGGATGTAGTTCAAGCCATACCCAGGACGCGGATGTAGTTTATCGTCATAAAAGGAATTCCAGGATGTAGTTTATCGTCATACCCAGGATGCAGGATGTAGTTTATCGCCATACCCAGGATATTGGATGAAAAATCATGAATAAAAGGATGCGGATGTAGTTTATAAATCATACCCAGGACATGGGTAAGATCTGGAAAAAATTTTAGGAGTTCACTATTTGCCCATAGCTGGGACCCTAACAGGTGCTACCACCCCGGGTCAGTTTATTGGACCTGGGAACACCAGCAATTAAGAGGTGGTTCCATGCTCCTCAGAACCTCCTGATCAGAGTTATTAATGCTGTTATATTTATAAGTTTAACATCATACCCAGGACACAAGAATTGAATTTGTGGTTAAATTTAATGGAACGCTTATATTAAAATACTAAAAATAGAAAAACAACTCTAAAACGAACAGAAGAGATGAATTCGATGTAAGTTAGAGTCCCTTTTTACTCTACCAGATGATTTGATTGTAAAATATTAAATAAAAACTAAGAAGGATATATAAAGGAAAGAGTAAAATATAAAAAAACAAATTGTATAAAGATTTATAATTTTTGTATTATAATTAATTAATATGAAATATTAAAAAGTAAAATATTAATAATAAAATACAAATTATATAAGGATTATATATAAACCTAAAAAAATTGTATAATCAAATTTATTATATTAATAATAAATAATGTTGATTTTAAATATTAATAAATAAAATATTAATATAGATTAATTAATAAAAATTAATTTAACATATAAATTACATAAGGATTATATATAAAGGAAGGATTAACATTATTAACTTCTTCATCATCATCAACTACAAGGATCTCACTGAATAAATTTACACTTTTTTAAAATTTATTATTAGGTTGGGGCAAAAATAATGTCGTTTTTAATTTGAAGTTGAACGTCAAAAAACGACATTCTTCATATTCAGACCAAAAAATTGAATTTCTTAAATTTAAAATGTTATAAAATGGTTTATTATGAGTTATTTTACTAGTGTACATAAATTTTTTTTTTTTTTTCACCCCAAGCAAAGGTGGGAAGCCACTAGCATGAAGGGGTTACAGAGAGATAAGCTAGAGCAAATAGTAGTGATAGAGGAAAGGATGAAAGAAAAAGGGGATAGATCAGGGCATCTGGAGACATCGAAATATTAATATGAATATTGGAGATTATATTATATCAGGAAAAATAAGAAATGGGGAGGAGTCCACAGGTGAGAGGTGTGAGATAAAAGCTATTTGGAGTAGAAGAGGCAGCTACATTTAAGAAGTTTCCTGACATTGAAAGGGCGATTTTGAGATCCAGCCTAGTTGAATGCTTAAATTCATTAATTCTTAATTCCTGGAGCAGTTACCATGAAAATTTAAAAAAAATGTTCCATAGATTTTAGTTTTTTAATACAAGTTTATTTTTTTTGTTAGTTAAAAAAAAATAAGGCATATAGAGTTGCTATTTCTATAATACAATTAAAAATTAAAATAAAATTTTTTTTCATCAAATGTTTATGGGGTCTGTTAAAAAAAAGATAAAAGAGTATTTTGAGTGTAGTTTATGTTTAAAAAATAAGTTTAGAACCACTTGCATAGATGAACAAAAGTTTACTGTACTAGTAGGAAGCTGCCTACTAGTTATCATCAATACTCATATATACATATATATATATATATATATATATATATATATATATATATATGTATATATTTTGAAAAAAAAAATATTAAAAAATTAAAATCTTCAGACACACTGGGTTGTAGATTAATATTCTTTCGTTTTTTTTATTATTATTTCATTTAGATTCCTCGACTAGTTTTATCCAAAATGGCCATCATCAGGAGAAAAATATTTCTGCTTGCTGGTAGCAGTAAACTACAGAAATGAATGTCTTGATGGAGAAAATGAACTTTTGTCTGTAGTTTTCATTTGTTTTTTTTTTTTTTTTATTTTTGAATTTTTTGAATTCCTTGTGTTGGTCAAACAGTCTCTTTTAAGTTGTTATTTGAGATAAGAGCTGGATGGATCCATGCTTCTCTGAATTCCCCTGGTCAGTTTGACAGTTTTATTGGTTCCTGGAGAGGGGATGTGTCTCTATTAAGTGTTTGTGTGTGTGTTATTTGGTTCTTAGGGAGTGAGTGAGTATGATATGTGTAAGCGTGTGTATTGCTGTGAGTGTGTGTTATCATTTGGCTCATTAGGGAATGAGTGAGTATGATGTGTGTAAGTGTGTATATTCATGTGGATGAGTGTATAAGTGTGAGGCCTCAACACCTCCATAAGCATGTCTGTCTTGTGTGGGCGAGAAATGTGGGTAGGTTTTGATTTGTAGAGTTATATATTAGTACTAACTATATTCTTAAATTTATGGTTTAGCCTGGCTGGATAGTGTGTTTTTAGATGTTGTATCCACTTATTTTCATGAAACTCTAAAAACTTTCTAATGTCATCTGCTCTGAACTTTTCTATTCTCTCAATTATAGTGAATTTGGCATATATTTTTGAAATCATGTTTTTCCAGGCGAAAATGTTGTTCTACAGGTAATAATTTTTCATGTGGAGTCGACTTAATTCGATTGCGATAATTATTAATTCTGTAGTGAAAGGCCATTCAGATTTTCCTACATATTGTTTCTGGCATAGTGTGCATTCTAGGAGGTAAATTATGTTATGACTTCTACAGTTAGAATCATGGTAGATTTTGAAAGTAGATTTACTGATTGAGCTAGTGAATGAATTTGTGTGTTTAATATGGTTGCAGCATAAACTTCTTTTGTTGTTACATGGTTGGGAAAATCCTGTTGTTTTTGTTCTTAGTTTATTATGGATTACCTTGTCCCTTGAAATGTGGTTACTACCTATGATTTCTTTTAGGTTCTTAGGTCTACGATATGCTAGAAATCCGGGTTCCTTAAACATTTTTTTTTTAGGTCTGGTTTGAGATGTAGTATTTCCCCAGTGGTTTTTTGATTATTTGGGATAGTGGAGGCAGAGTGGGGTTGAAAGTGTTTACTAGAGGAATGCAGCTAGATTTTTTTTTTAATCTTATACATTAGGGTGTCTTCTCTAGGTGTGGAAAAATATTTATTTATTTGTTCCCTGATTAGGTGTTGTTTATAGCCATGTGTTGTGAATTGATGCTAAGATTTTCAATGTGTTTATTTAAATTATTAATTGTTGGAACATATCCTTCTGAGTCTAAGTGCTAATGAATAGGAATGTTCCTTTTGAGGTGTTTAGGGTGGGAAGACTTAAAGTTTAGATAGTTGTGGGTGTCGGTGATTTTAGTGTGTAGTGTCATTTTTTAGTTTCCTGTTTTCATCTATATAAATGCAGTATGTCTAAAAATGTTACTGATGTTGTGGATTTTTCATAGTCAAACTTAATTGAGTCGCCATAAATGTTTAGGGCAATAAGGAATTGGGTAAGTTTTGTCATCACTTTGTATACAAAGAATATATCATTGATATATCTTGCATAGAATTGGGGTCGCTACCAATGATGGGATAGATATGGGTCTATTCAAAAAATGAATATTGTAGCATATGATGGAGATTTCAATGGTGTTATGGCAAAACCCCTTATTGAAGGTTTGATGTCCATTGTGTATATATATATATATATATATATATATATATATATACCCATATATAAATATATATATGTATATAAGCAATATAATATATACAAATACATATAAATACTCTATAGTGTATGACATAATACTAACAGGATATATGGTATTTATTATATATAAATTATAATTGTAGACATATATCTAGGGTTTGTAAGGGTTGGTAAACTCCTCTCTATAACTTGACCATTCAATGCTAAGACACAGAATGATTTTTGAGAGGATTTTTTTCAGAAAAAATATGCTAATTCTGCTTTTTCAAATTTTATGACGTTTATATATTAAATTACTGATACTCTGAATGCAGGATTCTTTAGGAAAGGGATTGTTGACTTCTTACCAAAAAAGTTGGAGTATGTTTTGATTAAACAAATAATTTAGTTCATCTGACTCTACAGACTTGCACTACAGAATCACAAATAAAGAACTTTTACCAAATAACAAAAACCACATCACTTGAAGACTTCCAACAGCAGCTATAACTAAAATAGATAACACATAAAACTAGAAGGGGAAAATAAAAATATAATCAAGCTGTTGACTTTCCACATTATATTAAGCAAAAGGTTAGGAAGGAAACTCACATCAATGCTAGAAAAAACAAAAAAACAGTGATCTTCAGAATTTATTTTCCTGAAAAACTGTTTTAAGAGAAAGATTTTATAACATTCAACCAACAGTAAAGTTAACTGTTAACAGTCAGTAAATACCTAATGTTTCCTTATAAGGAAACAACTCATTTCACCATTACCATTTTTAATTTAATTTTGTTTAGATAAATAAGTAATTTCATGATAAACAAGCTAAAGAAATAGGTAATTTATATATAGGTAATAATCAATTATGGATCAATAATCAATCAATAAAAATATTTATATTTATGCTAATATATTGACATACAAATATAAAAAATTATTTATTTATACCTTTTACAGCAATAGAGATGCCGCCAAGACAATTATTACTAAATCTTAAAAGGAAAGTTCCAGGGTGGGTTGGATTGAGCATGTCTTCAGTCTGTTTCTTACTGACAAAACCAATGACTAACCTGAAACAAAAAGAAGAAAGTCTGATAAAGTAAAAAGAAGCCAAGTTGAATATATACAGGGTGTTTCAAAAATTACGCCAAAAATCATTTTTTTTTTTTCAGGTCTATAGCATTGTAGTGGACTGATATCAGTGGTTATTTGATAAAAAGTTATCAAAGTTTGATTGGTGTCAGTTTCACCGCTGTCATTAGTATAACTTCCATTTGTGCAGCTGAATTGTGGGAAGATCAATCAAAATGGCGACTCCTCAGCAGAAGAATTTCATTTCAAATAAACAAACAGAGCACCCAAAAATAAAACTTTGAGCATGAAAAGATTCCCTAAAGTGAACGTCTTCTGTGATTGTGTCTCAAGACAAGGTTTATGGTCCCTTTTCATAAAAACAAAACATTTACAGGACAAACCTAAAAAGAAACATTAAAAAAATGGCTGAAAAACTTAAAAAAAGCAGATTCGAATGACTTTCATTTTTTCAAGCAAAAAATATTCTTAATTGGCATCAAATAAGAAAATTCTTATCTGAATGAAAACGTGTCTCTTAATGGATTGGGAGGAGAGGTGCTAAAGACCTTGCTCTCTTGTGCTTCCTTAAAGATCCCCGGACCTCAATGTATGTGACTTCTTCTTAAGGGGGTATGTTAAAGACCAAGTTTATGTTCCAGTACTTTTCAAACCAATCGATGAAAAAAAAATCGAATAACAGCTGCAATCAACATGGTAGTGGACTGTGACATGCTGAAATTGCATTTGGAGAAATTTTCAAATAAAATTTGATGTTGTCTGCACTGCGGTGGTGGCCACATTGAGCACTTATAAAACATGAAATGAAAACTTGAATGTATATATAACACATGTGTTCATGCTAGAGGTTTGTAATTTTTTTTTCGTTTTTGACACATATCATTGATGATTTTATTAATATTATTCTTTTTGAAACACCCTGTATTTGTAATGCTAAACAGAAATATCAAAAATTGCTTGAGATAATGTATTATGATTATTTATATTATTCAAACTGTTATCCTCATCTTCATTGCTATATTCACAACATTTTGGCCATTGTACACTCCAGACTTCTTCAGGTGATTGGAATCTTGAACTGAACCCTTTATTTCATCCACAGGGGTAGATTGTTCTAGTTCCATGTGCCATGCTTCATCTGGATGTCTCAGTTATTTCCTTTAACTCAACTCTCCATATTTTTTGGTTTCATCTGCTGTAAGCCTGGTATTGAACTCACAAAAGTTGAGTTGCAGGGAAATAACTGAGACATCAGATGGAAAATGGGGAAACAAACTGTGAACAATCTAATTGATAATAAAAATAAAGGGTTTGGAGAAAATTCAATCACCTGAAAAATATTTATTACTGGCCTAAACATTGTGAATATGGCAATGAAGATAAGAATAACAGTTTAAATAATGTAAATAATCAAAAATTGCTTTTATTAGCAAGTTAAAAATCGAATCATGTCACTAGATATATGAACTGAAAGGTAATGTTTGTGAATATAAATAGAGACACAGGCAGAAAATTCAATTCAACAAATGTAAAGAAATCATTTTCCAAATTTACATTTAAAACTTAGATACAGTTACAAAAAACAACCTTTATTTTTTTTCAGATTAATGGACATTGCATGAATGTAAGGATTTCTTCATATCAACTTATTAAATAAAATCTCTTGACAGTAATATAATATCAGCAACATCTGGCAAAAATATGAGATTAAATTTTTCATATGCAAAATAATTATTCTCTTCTTGACTCAGTCAAATTTACATTGGTTGAATCAAGGATATGTGGTTTAGGTCTTTCTTTGAACATTTGATCTTCTTGTCTTTCCACTCATAGGTCGGCCATTTATATTATTTCCTGTTATCTACTTCATTTTTGTCTCAGTTCATTTTTTTTTGTTAATGTTGATGAACTCATAAACATCCTTTAATAGGCCGATTCTGCACTTGGTCCCTTTGCAGTCACCTTGTATGTCAAGGGACCTGGATTTTTATGATATTCTCAGATGACACCAAAATCAAAATTTACTTATTTACGTATTTCTCAGGGTGAATCCAGTACATCATTTATTATTGTTTTTGATTCAGAAAAGGCAACAGCAACTCATCCAGTTTGAGTTATAAATTTTAAACTTACTTGTCCTTATACATGTCCAGAAAACAGTTTTGTATAAGTCTCTCAATGGCATAAAACCAATCCCAGAATGAAAATTTTTTGTCATTCATATTCACCTGCAACATAAAATACATTTAGTAAAAAGACAAATTGTACAGCCATAATGCGAAATAAGATTTACAGAGAATTATCTTCAGACAAAATTGTGATCAAATACAAAAATTGTGGTGTAATTGGACATGGTTAAGTATCATTGGCAAAATGCCAAATGGAACTGACAAAATTTTTAATAAGCAATAAAAAAAGAAGAAAAAAAGCAGGACAAAACAATACTAAACAAACAATATATATTCAAATCAAAACTAGGCAAAGCAATAGTAATACATTAAAAAAAAGTTTGCAAAGTAAGAATTGCATTCACACACAAAAGGAATTCAGTGTAGTGATTGTAGTGTTCTAAGTTCAAGATAGGAAAGAACAAAAATACAGTAAATGAGGCCAAGAAGGGATCCATTTTTTATTGGTTAAGAAAAAATCCCAGCATGCATCTATAGGATTTGTTTATAAATTTGTGGAGTGGGTATTTTTAGCAGTCATTCCTACACAGACTGAGACCAAAAAAAATTAAACACTGGAAAGATGGCTGAATCTGTTTACAGAAAAGAAATGAATAAAGGGAGATAACTACATTTGCCATTTTCTGTCAACGAATTCATTGAAAGTAAAAATAAGTCTCATCTATTCAAAGTGACTTTTAAAGATTGAGAAAAAATAGTGGCAGTGTTTAACCTTCATGCCCACAATAAAACGGAGTGTCAACAGTTTTTCCCTTGACACCACTATTATTTTAACTACCGTCACTCACTCAGTATTGTTTGTTTTTTTTTTAAAGCTATGATTAGAATTTTAATAAAACCTAAACAAATGAAAGTTAATTTATACATTTTCTTCGTTCTTTAAGAATTTATAAAAAAAATATTAAACACTATTTATTAGATTGTTTATTTACAACAGGTTCATTAAAAATGAGCATAGATGATGAAAAAATACCTCAAACTTAACAAAAACAAAGTTTTTCCATCAATATTGTTGTTATTATGGAGAGTTTTATCTCAGTGAGGGAGCAAATGTAGGAAATTTTAACATTTTTTTTTTTTTGCAGTAAAAAACACACTGATTTGAAAATTATTGTAAAAATGGAATCATTTTTGGATCTTGATGAAACTTCAGGACCTATTCATAAATGAACAAAATTATTTTAGAAATCATTCTTTTTTAGAAAATCTTGGTAAAAAATATTTTCTTTTTACATCTTTTAACACCCCCCGCCCCACACAAACACTTATTTAATTTTATGAAATTTTGAGAAATTTTTAAACAACGTAATGTTTATATTAGTTATACGCAGAACTCCTTGGCGAATTTACATCATCAATAACTTCTTTTTTTTTTTTTGCAAAACAAAACCCAGTTACTGAAAATCATAAAATAAAAAATGCAATAAAATTAAGACATTATTTAATTAGAAAGGCTTTTAACTACTTTTATGAATAAGATGTATTATGGACAAAATTGTCTTAAGAATTTTTTTTCAAAGAATAATGAATTTTTTACACCAATTGTTTTAATTTATTTTTTTAATTTTAATTAAAATAATTTATAAATTTTTTAATCTTTTAAATTTCTGTATTAATTGTAACCAATTAGGTGATATTGTTACTAAGTAAAAACTATATTTACTAATCATAAATAAAAAAGCTTAGTACAATTCAGCAATCCCCCAATATTTGAAAAAGAATTTAGATTTGTTATTTTGTGTGTGAGTATAAATATGCAGATTTTTGTAAATACAGATGTTTATACACAACATTATTAAAAAATAAGAGTGATAATAAATTTAAAGTCAAAGTACCTAAAATTCAATAAAACATTACATTATGGAGAATATTTCCTAAATTTTTAAGATTGCTAGGTAGTTAAAAAATTAAATGAAAATGGTGCTCAGAATATATTCTTGAAATGATTTTTACAGATATGTCCTTCATAAAAAATTAGATTAACATCTGGCTGTCAATCAAGCTGTCAACACCTTAAATAAACACCTACTTCTATGTTACAAAATGCATTTCTGAGATATTTTAAACTAAAAATAATATTTGTTTGAAATCACATTGAACTTTAAATCAGCTAATATTCCTCAAATATGGTTTCAAAAAAAGTATATTTTATTTTTGAAAAATCTTTTAATAAATTACATTGTGCCAACAGATGGCTAAAAATGGTGCTTAAAATCAGCCATTTTTGGTGATTTAAAAAAAAATCTTTCCAGTCAATTTAAATTAGTTTTGAAATACAGCAAAACATTTTGCTTATTTGTTTTACTTAAATTTAATCTATTAGCTTGAAATTAAAACTAAAATAAAAAATTAATTTTAAACCTTAGGTATCATGTTTCTTTGTAGGTACCTAATTGACAAGAATAAGTTTGATTTTCAAAAATGAGTAGAATGTGGTGCAGCCAATCAATGATGGAATTTCTTGCCTTGGATTTCACGATCATGATTATAAAAAACTTAGAAAATTAAAACAAGAAATAATCTAAGAAAATGTATTATGTATTATGTATCATGTATTATGTCCAAAAAATTATGTTTATACAAATTCTTTTATAATTCATTGATATCTTTATAAAATCATGAATAATAAAAAAAAAAATGTTTTCATAGTTATTTATAAAATCATAAATAATAAATAATGCATTGTAAATGGTTTACATATTTTGATAATTTTGTAATTTAAAAAAAATTTAAATAAAAAGAAATTTTTTTTTGGAATCTTTCCAAAAAAATCTTTTGAAATCTTTCCAAAATAAATTTTGCTTGAAGATGGAACAGAGCTTGGTACTTTAATTCAATTTAATTCAAATAATTATATTGATGTTTTCGGCTCTTGTTTTAAAACATGAGAACTCTTATGTAGCATTGGAATCATATTTTTAAATAAATAATTATATATATATATTTATATATATATGATAATAGAACTGAAAAAATATGTGAAAATTACAAGAATTTAAAGTGTTTTTCAGGTTAGAAGACCTTCTGCCAATAATCACTCAACAGGTAACTTGAGCTGTAATATTCAATAAATCAGGAAAAGTTCCAAAGACTGAAGAAAATAGCAGATTTTGATAGATTTACTGAACTTTTTACGTTATTTACATTGTTTGGACTGTTGTCCTCATCTTTATTGTCATATTCATGATATTTCAAACATTGTATGCTCCAGACACCTTCAGGTGAGATACATTAGAATTTTTTAACCAAATCCCAGTGGATAAAAGCATTGGTTGAAGTAATCCATTGACTTGACCCAAACAGTTGTGAGTTCAATACCTGGCCACAGCAGAAGTGAACAAAAACTTGGAGAGTTCAGTTACTAAAGGGAAATAACTGTTACTGAGATGTCCAGAAAAGGTCAAACATGTGGAACTAGAACAATCTGCCTCAGTAAATGAAATAAAGGGTTTGGTTCGAAATTCCAGCATGTATCACCTGAAGAAGGCAGGAGTGTACAAAGGCCGAAACATCGTAAATATAATTCTAAAGAGAACAACAATTCAAACAATGTAAATAGGGTAAATAATTACAATACCTCATCTCAGAAATATAGACAAATCTACTGAACTTATAAGATCTCGTATTTATACATTTCAGAACAAATGCACACTAATTCTAATTTCAAAATTTGAAATTTGAAATTCTTAATACTAGAAACTCAAGCATATCTGTGGCTTTGAACTGTCATGAAGGAGAACAACATCCACTGTGTAAGCTGCCACTACTATTAAAGATCTAAAGTATGTTAGTATATTTCAAATTGATTCTAAACTATTGTGTATGATTAATAGTCAGGATGATATGTTTCTCTTTATAATTGTTTCCCAAAAATGGAAATTACTTCTGACTTAGCCGAATAAAACTTCTTTAGAATCAATGTTGATGGATATTAATGAAAACATTTCCAAGACTTTTATTTTACTTTTTTATTTTACTGCTAAGTATTTCTTAGTGAAAGGAGTTGCTTCCCTTTTGTCTTTGTGAAACAACTTCTAAACTTTTTTTTTAAGATGACAGACAACAAGCATCAATGGCTTTTTCAAAATTTATAAAAAAAACTCCAATATGCATAACATAAAATTTTTCCAAATACAACAAACCTGGATGCATCTTTAGTAGAAAATAAAGTGTCTTTTGAAAGTGTTTTCATCTTAATTTTTCTTCCACAATTAAGGAAAAAAAATTTTTATTTGAAAAGCATACCTTGCAAAACTGAGTCCAGGTAATAGACATTGTGGAAAGGTCATTAACTGTTTTATCTATAAATAAATAAAACAAATTCAAATATTTATTAAAAAAATTTAAAACCATCTTTTTGATACTCCAGGTACAAAGGTTCAAGTTTACCAAAAAAAATCTTAGGTAACAAATAAAAGAATGCAGAAATTTTACTTATGTTTTAGTAGTGTTATAAAAAAAAAAACTAGGCTTCAGAAACGTGGAAAAAGAAGAAATAAAAACAAAATGAGTCAGTGAATGAGAACAATAAGTCAAATGCAATTTCAAATATCAATTTAGAAAATGATTATTAAACACAACTGAGTCTCAACATAGGACTATGGGTCACAAGTAACTCTCCCACAGTAAGTTCAGTTTTTCACTGGTTAATTCTCAAAAGTGGTTGATTGTTTTGTTTTATGGCATATCAAAACCTCAGTGGGTCACTTAATGCCAGCAAAATTTTTTAAATAGATTCATAGTGACAGTTTGGTAAAAAAAGGTGTGTATGTATACATATATATTTGAACTATTTTTCAATTACTCATATTTTTGAGTATAATCCAACTTCTTTTAGAAAATTTACAATCTTGGATGGTCTTATTTTTGTAAAAAATTTTTTTTAAATTACTCACTTGGTAATATTTTGTTTGCATTCTTTTGTATTCTGAGTTCCATTCTCCATTTGTTTTTTTTCAAAGAATCTATAGCTGTTTGTATTACTGGTAATTATTTTTAAGTATTGCTGATAATAATTTTTCCTTCAAAAACTATTGCTGGTAATAATTTTTTATAACAAAGTATTTCTGGTATTAAAACCTATTTTTGCACAAGTTTGGGTGTTAACTATTTGCCCATAGCTGGGACCCTAACAGGTGCTACTACCCCATGTCAGGATGGACCTGGGAACACCAGCAATTAAGAGGTGGTTCCACACTCCTCCAAACCTCCTGATTAGAGGCCTTGCTGTTGGACGTAGTTTATCGTCTTACCCAGGACACAGATGTAGTTTATCGTCATACCTAGGAAAAAAAAAAAAGTTTTTTTTATGTTTGAAATATCAAATTTATTTATAATAAAAATATAAATAATAAAGAAATTAAAAAGACCACGAATGAACATGTAAACACAATTAAACATAATAAAAACAAACAACAACAAATAATAAAGTAATCAATAATAAATACTGAGTAAAAAAAGTTAACAAATAAAATAGTTATAAAATAGACCTTACTATCAATAATGCACTATGGACCAGCATATATAAATAGTCAAGCCAAAACACAACACACATGGCCAGAAGATTACACTCAAGCATGAAACAAACTATCGCTGCTGGATATTGACCATAATGTTCAATTATATATATTAGTAATGGATATCAGCTCAAATTGAGGAATTGGGGAACCAAGTTCAAATTTCAGTCGAATTTGTTACATTCTCTTATATACAATTACCCTAGGGAAAGGTATGATTCCTTCTTTTTTTGGGGTTCTCATGGAAATAGTGATAGAGCAGTGAGAGGTTTGTAACATTCCATCTGAAAGACAGAGGTTGTAGAATGAAAAATAATTTGTCACCCACAAGGATGCCAAGACAATTTTGGACTCTATCAAGACTAAAACGAGAAGACTGGTCAGCTCCTGTCCATATATGGCAGCACTACTTTGTTTTCAGTTCTGGCCCTTGTAGAGGATAATGAAAGAAGTCAGGTACTTACTGGAGCAGTACAGAGAACCAACCAAGTTTCTAGCATCTTTACTGGCGGATCTTTAAATACATGAATGATTGATTAATTAATTTTTTTTTTTGGCTTATCAACCTTTTGTCGGTTATTTTAAGCTGAAACATATTTTTGGATTGTAAGGATAAAATTTTTTTCGAGTGAATATTGTATTAACAATTGTTTGAACATAATGATTTTCAGACACAAGTCTTACTATTTTAACCCATAGATAGAGGGGGAGAGGTGGATTCATGCCTTTCTTAAGGGTATTAGAGTGTAAGTAAATATAAATAACCTGAGTGGAATTTGAACAGTTTTCTGACTTTTCATTCCAAGCCCTTATCCACTGCACCATTTGCAAATCCAAGCTCACAGCACCTTGTATTCCCATGTGGTCACCCATCTAGCTACTGACCAGGCTTGATGTTGCTTAACTTCAATGATCAGATGAGAACTGGTGCTTCAATGTGATATGCCTGTAAGCCTTTGAATACAATGTCCTCATTGTCAAACTAGAACTGTACATCTAAACAAATGCTGATCTGGCAATTTTGCATATCTAGCCAGACTGGGGACCAAAAAGGGGCCAAAAAGTTGTCATCATCCTTCTTATTATATTTTAATTCTGGTTTTGATTGTTTAGATAAATGTTTTTTTGTTGAGAATAACATATTTCAGATGAATTAGTTGGCCTGTTTTGTTGGATTGCAGTAAAAAAAAAAAAAAAAAAAAAAAAAAAATGGAGAATAAAATTAAAAAGAATTACAAGGTGACTTTGAAATGTGTTAGAAAAATTTTAAATGATGAAAAATAATCCCAAAGATATACAATATAAAATTATGCACTTTATTAGTTCAATTTAAAAACTGTCAAGTGTTTCTGAGCCATCCTATTAAAAAAAATTTGAAATAAAGAGATGAAAAGTATTTTAAAACTAACCAAATATTTTAGATGCAAAATATTTAAAGTCTTGTGGCGTCAAAGAAACACCAATGGTTTCTTTAAATCTATATTTTAGCATATCTGCAAACTTGGGCCAAGGAACTGTCTGTAAATAAAACAAAAGAAAACTTTGAAAGATTATTTGGACAATATTGTAACCACAAAATTTACCATATATACTCACTTATCACGCAACCTTTGAAGACCTAATTTTGAAGCTAATTTGGCTACAGTAAATGGATATATAATTTGGTCAACAGCATAGCCAGGGCCAGCAATACATATGCTAATTTTATATCTCATGTATGATGTGACCCACTTAAAATTAGCTTCAAAATTAGGTTTTCAAAAGTTGCACGATATGCAAGTCTATAAGGTCATCTATTTTTTTCTACAAAGAAAGAAACATATCCAAAATGTACCCTTCCAAAAAATTATGCAAAATTACCTTAACTCCTTAAATACTTATCACACTAATAACAATCAAGAAAATATAAAGCTGTATCAATATTCCCCATCGAGGGTTGCAATAGATGAAATAAGAGGCTATGGTGGTTCTTCCCATCAAAGGAAGATGGTAAAACCTCAATACACATATTTGTGGAACAGCAGTTAGAATTTCTGAGAAGCAAATCCCAAAATAATGTTATAACTTTTCATAAAGGTTTAAACATAGAATTTTCAAAAAATATTCTCTGAAAGCCAAAAAAATCACATTCTAATTTTTAACAATGCCTATATATTAGATTTCAGAATCATCTTGTATGTTTTGTCATTTATTCACAAACTATTTAATGTATAATTTTTCATGAGATGGTTGGGGAGTCAGATCTTCAAGGTTCAAAAGTAGAAAAGAGGAAAAAGTGAAATCAAATTTGAATTATATTTTTTCTCTTGTTCTTTCGAAACAATCCCCACCCCATGGTAATTTGTTCAATTTACTTTCCATTGTGGATGTCAAAAAAGAGGAAGAACACTGGCAACAATTCTCCAAACTCTAAGTGTCCTATCTATAGCACTAGAAGGCTTGTTACTCTCTCACTCATTAATAAACTAAAACATGGATTATCTCTGATCAGTGTTTGCTTTTTATACTGAAGGATGCTATGAAGAGTCAAATATAAATCCAAGCACTTTGCTGGAGATTTTAGTTTTTTTTTTTAATTGTGGTTGCCAAACAATGCACAGCCAACACAGTGTCTGTTTTGAAGACGACTGCTGTATTCTTTTCTGTTGCATTGATACCCATTATTACTACAACATTCTCTTTCCTCACATAATGAGGAAGGAAAGCCTGGAGAATCTGATACTCACATGTTGGATAGAGGGAAAGAGAGACAAGGGAAAGCAGCGCGTGACATTCCTGGTGAGCTTGAGCAAGTGGATGATAGAACGTGGTCTGGGGAAGATAGCAGAGGGAAGTGATGTGAAGTCGAAGTTTAGCACTAGTCAGTCACTAAGCTTGTCTTCGTCCCACGTTATTCTCAGTGACAATTTATATAGGCTTTCTCTTGCACTTATGCAAATTAGGCATATTAATTTGCCAGTGTCACTATGTCTCTCTGAAACGTATAGGTTTTATACCTCTAGTAGTTCTTGTACTTCTTCTTGTGATAGTTTCATTACTTTGCTCTACTTCTCTCTCTCCCGTATTTCTTTTTCTGGGAGACCTAGATCTGTCCCATGCTAAGCTGTAATCATAGGCATCTTCTTGCATTATTTGATCTTCGTCCGAACTTTCAAACTCATTCTGTCCTACTTGATCCTGCATTATTTCGTCTTCTGATGTTTCATTCTGTAACGGTTGTTCTAATAAATCATTAATGGACAGAATCATATACATTCCTTCATCATTTTGCTCTTCATATTCAACCTGGGTCCTTATTTGATCTGCATGGGCTAATACACTGTTGCCGTTTTCTCTGTTTATTATAGCTGTATTGTGGCCTTTTTGCATGATAAATTCTGCTCTTTCCGGATTTGCTTCTTTGTTCTTTTTGTACCACATTTTTTCATTTGTGGAATACGACATCGTTAGCGGAGCTCTAATTTGTCTTCCTCTTAAAGCTGATGGGCTTTCTAGTTTTCCAGCGTGTGGTATTGTGCGATAGCTTAAAAGCAGCCTTGGTAGAAAAACTTTGACTTTTTCTTTTTGCTGAGAGCATGCTTTTAGTCCCATTTTTACAGTCTGCACCATTCTTTCCGCTAACCCGTTCGACTGAGGGTGATATGGGGTGTCTTATACGGTTTACATACTATTTTTTCTAACCATAAATTAAGATCTTCATCACAAAATTCTGGTGCGTTGTCAGATACCAGGGTTTTTGGTATGCCGTTTCTGTAAAATATGACCCTTAGAATCTGTTTTATCGTAGAATTTTTCTTGTTTGGCACCTGGATTATTTCAGGCCAGCCTGAAAAAGAGTCTACTAGAATTAATAAGAGTCCCACTCCAGTAATATATGCATGATCCATATGCACCCGACTCCATGGCTCCACTTCTCTGGGCCACGAATATAAAGTAGTCTGCGTAAAGTTTCTTAATTCTTTACATTTTTTGCACTTTTTTATATATTCTTCGACATCTCTTGAATATCCCAGCCACCATGCTTCTAATTTTATCCTTTTTTGTGTGGCCGCTACTCCACAGTGTATATCATCATGTACACTTTTTATTACCAATTTTCTTTGTGTTTCTGGGGGAACTACCCAATTACAAATCACTCCATGTTCTATCGTTAATTTTTGTCTTATTTCTTTGTAGGGTCTTTCCGCCCTAGAACAATTTCCCCATGAGTTTTTTCTTATTCTCAATATTATCCTACTTAGTACTGGATCATGTCTAGTTTTCACAGCCATTCTATCTAAAGTCAAAATATCAGTCTCTACCCAATGTAAGAATGCATCTTCAAATTCTTCTTCTGTTTTATCTTTTGACTCCTTGTAAAATCGCAATCTTGATAGTGCATCTACATGTGGAATTGAATTTCCTTTGACATATTCTATATCAAAGTCAAATGCCATTAATCTTATTGCCCATCTTAGCATACTCGATGTTGTGACTTTGGATAATTCTTTCTTGGGTTAAATATAAACTCTAATGGTCTATGATCACTTCTTAACAGAAATTCTTTTCCAATTAAAATTTGTCGGGCTCTAGTAGTTGTCCACACAATAGCCAATGCTTCTTTCTCTATATTTAAATAATTAAATTTGGTGTTCGTTAGTCTTCTTGATAAATACATTATCAGATGTCCCTTGTGATATCGAATGTTCACTTGCATCTGTGGTTAACGTAATGCCCTTTTTTTGGATCAAACATTTTCACTACTGTTTTCTTTGCCATAATTACTTTTAATCTATCAAAAGCTTTTTGTTGTTCCTCTGACCAAATAAATTCAACATTCTTTTGTCTTAAATTTGCAAATGGTTCAGTCAAGTCCGTGTATTTTGGTAAATATCACCTGTAAAAATTCACCAATCCCAAAAAAGACTCCAGTTCTTTTTTATTTGTAGGTTTAGCTACTTTTAGTATTTTTTCTATCAAGGCTTGGTCTGGTGATATACCTTCTTTTGAAATGGAATAACCTAAAAAAGATATTTTACTACAATTGCTTATGCATTTTTTCTCGTTTATTGTCATTCCAGCATTTCTTAATCTATTCAAGATTATGGCGGTTTTCTTTTTTAATTCATTTTCATTAGTAGCTCCTATGCATATATCGTCTTGGTAACAAATTATATTTTTCATATTTTCTAAAACCTGTTCGATGGCCCTTTGAAATATGGCGCTTGCAGTTTTTATCCCATATGTCATCCTTTTCCATCTTAGTTACCCTATTGGCGTATTTATCATGGTCACTTCTTTGGAGTTATTGTCTATTGGTATTTGGTGGTATGCCGTTTTTAAATCTATTTTTGTAAAAACGCTCATTCCTGCCAGTTGCATGTAATGCAACTTCAACATTCGGTATAGGATATGAATCCCAACAAACTTTGTGATTTATGCCTATTTTGTAATCTCCACAAATACGTAAATAACCATCTGTCTTCCTCAAAACTACAATGAAGTCCGTGGTTCTTTTTACAACTTGTGACAATTATAGGTATTACTCCAAATTTATCATCTAACTCCAAGGAACCTTCAAAGTATCCTAAAGTTTTTATGACCGACCCATCAAATTGGCGGAGTTGTAAACTGCTTTCTTTCTTTCCAATGCATTCCCAAAAATTTTTTGGTATCAGTGTTACTTCACTCCCAATATCAATTTGCATATCTAAATTGCAGTTGTTGATTTTAACCTTTAGTATAATGTCTTTTTCTTTTGTTCAATTTTTTCTATATTCTTATTTTTTAATGTGAAGACTTCCATATTGGTTTTGTTTTCTTCAACTCTTTCAATGTTTTTCTTTTTGAATTTTCATACTGCTTGAAAGTGGTTCTTTCTTAAGCAATTTGTACAGGTTTTTCCAAATGCTGGGCACTTTTCCCTTTTTATTTCATGTTCACGTCCACAATACGAACATTTTCTTATCTTTTTTAACATGTATGTATCAGCAAATATTTGTTCACTGGGTTGACTTTTATGATGGTTGTATTTCTGTATTAATTCTTGTTGCTGTATAAAATCAATGCATGTATTTATAGACATATTTCCTATTTGTAGTTGTTCCATTATTTTATATCGGTGAGATACATTGCACATACCTTCAATTAACTTTAATTGAATCAAGTCCTCTTCAATAGTCTGTTCGTCTTGTCCGAGTTTTTCAAATTCGCAATATCTACTCGCATTTCATAGACGGTGTAGATATTTTATAATTGGTTCGTCAATTTCTTGTTTCATCAACATGAATGTCGTTCTTTCTGCCACTACCAGCCTTTTCTTGGGTCTCATATTTCTCCTTATAATCTGACTTATTTTTTCGAAAGTCAGGTCTTCCAAGTTTGTGGGATATACCATGGTGGAGACTTTCATTATTGCCTCGCATCCAGCTGTAGCGAAAAATAAATCTGTAATTTCATTTTTGCCTCCCTTCTTGTTGTCTTTCAATTTTTTACTTCACACACTGGCAGAAAAACAGCGAATCCATGCATCCATGAAATCTGAATCTTCTAGAGACAAATGGGATCCTATCAGCGATGCCACTGATGTGAAGTTGAAGTTTAGCACTAGTCAGTCGCTAAGCTTGTCTTCGTCCCATGTTATTCTCAGTGACAATTTATATAGGCTTTCTCTTGCAGTTATGCAAATTAGGCATATTAATTTGCCAGTGTCTCTACAGGAAAGAACATGTTGAGAGCTGCAAGGGATAGAGGGAGGTGGAGAGCCATGATCGCCTACGCCCTTAAAGGACATGGCGCATAAAAAGAAAAAAATGCCCCAATCACTTTGTAAATATATTCACTCACTGTTTTCTGAATGCCATTACCATGCAAATCCAACCACTTTGTCAATTTCTCCACATAAAGTAAAGATAATTTGGTGAGGGATAACATTGGAATATCTGGAAAGCACACTTTCTTTATTTCCATCAATGTCTATTGGGCTCCCTTCTAGGCTTGCAAACTCAACACTCAAGCAACATCACCTCTGGTCACCGTATATTAGTCTCCCCCATTGTTTCCAACATATATTCCTAAAACAAAAAGAAAATGACTTTTTACTAAATTCTCATTCTAAATAAGAGACACATACTTACATTTTCATCAAAAAAGTTATCCCATAAAATTGTGGCCATTGCTTTGCATTCTTGATTTCCATTTTGAATCACGACAACTGGAAAGGAGCAAACCTGAGTAAAGAAAGAAATTTTGTTTGTCTTAAATCAAACTGCAAAAAAGAAAAAAAAAAAAGAAGTCTTTTGGTGTTTCTTTTTTGGGAAATAAGGTAGAACTTATCTAGTTATTTAGTTGTGTCTTTTATTCAAGTATTATCTTTTATTATTGATCAGACTGTTGACCTCATCTTTATTGTCATATTCATGATGTTTCAGCCATTGTACACTCCAGCCTTCTTCAGGTGATATATGTTGGGATTTTGAACCGAACCCTTTATTTCGTCCATCAGAGTAAATTATTCTTTTATCATTGTTATTGAAGATTTTTCTGTTTCCACATTCCATATCTTTCAAGGATATATCATTTTTTAGTTATTTCCCTTTAGTAACTCAACTGTTCTAGTTTTTGTTCACCTATGCTGTGGCCAGGTATTGAACTCACAACTCTTTGGTTCAAGCCACTGGATTAATTCATCCAATGTTTGGGGATATCAGTGCATGAATTTTGGGGACTTAATAACGGGTTCATTTCAAAATTTCAATGTATATCACCTGAAGATGGTTGGAGTGTATAATGGCCAAAAATTTCATGAATATGACAATAATGATGAAGACAACACTCTGAATGATGTAAATAGTTACAATATCTGAGCTCAGTGTGATGATATGTCCCACACATCACTGCACAAGCTGTGATGGCATCCAAGGTCGGTTGTGCATGCACATACACCCGACACACTCTCACTGGATCTAACACCTTTATCCACTGTTTTTACCAAAAAACAGCAATTTTTGCTGTTATCATATCATGTTTTTACCAGAGCTCATATTGCAATTTTTGTTGTTATTATCACTTTTTCTCTGGCACTCCTTATTACTGGTTTCCAACTTGGAGAGGGGAATTAACAGGAGATAACTGATAACTGACATCCATTAAACATGGCACATGGAACTAGAACAGTCTACTTCAGTGAGCAAAATAAAGGGTTCAATTTGACATTCCAAACACCTGAAGAAGGCTGGAGTGTACAACAGCCGAAATATAATAAATATGGCAACAAAGATGAGGACAATAGTCCGAATAATGTAAATAATTTTGAATTCTGTTCTCAGTAAAGTCATCATGATTAGATAGTGCTGTTGGGATTAGTTTTAGTATTAGTACAAACCATTTCCTTTAATTTTATTTTTTATTATCTTGCTACTTTTGTTTTTTATGCATTTTCTTTTTTTCTTTTCAATGTTCAGCCCTTCAAAAAAATTTTATGTTTTTTCTTTCTTATTTTAGGAAAGTATTTTCCTTTCTTTCTTTCTTTTTTCTTTTTTTTTTTTGATGTGTTTATTCTTATCTATGGCATATATACCAAATGAATGAATTTATTGATCTTACCTGTAAATTCAGTTTGATGCCTTCAATTTCAATTTGCATGAAAAATCTAAGCTCAAATTTTTCATCTGTGACAGACTAAAACAAAGGAAAATATCATTTTTTTTTTTTAAATAAGAAATAATAATGAATAAACCAAATTTGAACAAAGAAGAATGGATTCAGTATAGAAATAAATTTATTAAGAATCATCTTAAAGCACACCCCAATTCATTCTGGGGATGACAAACAGTAGGGTACATGGAATATGAAAAGAAATATATTGTTTTATCCACTCACCAAGTAGAGGATATCCCTTATATACCAACACCATAACATGATGGAAAGAAGGATGAGAGAATAACTCAAAGAAATTATTTCACAAAAATAACATATATGAAAAAGTTTTATGTTCAACATTGACATACAGAAATATAAACATGAACTAGCAATAGACACACACAAACACATGACTTTTTGTACAAATAACTGATTTCCTGTATCATAATTTGATGAAATTTTGTTAAAAAAATAATGAAAAAGGGTTTAATTCAGTTTATTTTTAAAAAAATATTGTCATGAACAGTACTCCATTTCGCATCATTGCAGTTTATGCACCCAACAAACTGACGGAGCATGTCTACTTTTTTCACCAGTTAGTGCTGTTCCTGGTGGATTTGTTGCACTTGATCTTAGTGGGAAACTAGAATGCTAACCTTGACTCCTACATAGACAGGGGTGGAGAGCTAGTGGCAGATCAGGCAATCATGATTGATTTGATTGGTGAGTTTGATCTCATCGAAAGATACAAGGTAGATCCCCCTGGGTGGAAGATGTGAACATGGGCATTTAAGTAGCCATCTACTCAGGTAGCCAGCTACCTGGATAGAATGTTAGTGAGAAAGACCAATAGAGATTTGCTAGATTAGCCCACATTTCACTGGTTAGGCTATTTGAACCTGTTGTATAAGAGTAAGTGTCATTGCCTACACTGTGGATTGAAACTAGATCGTTAGTGAATAGCACAGATGATTCCATTAAGAAGACATGTGATAATAAAAGAATAAATAGGAAGTGAGTGATCTCTGTTCACTCTCTCTTGTCTATCCATTATTGTTCTTCTTGTCTATGCATTATTGCGACATATTCACTCTCTCTACTATAGTGATTATTATACTATTGGTGATACTATTTGAACAAGTATTACTAATAATGGCTTTTACGAAGTCTCGACTGCAACAAGCATTTTTGGAAATGGTAACAGCTTTCATTTGACATAGTAAAAGTGACAAGCAAAGCACCTAACATTATAAAAGAATGATAGACTTGTCTATGCCCAGATGTCGTTGAGTGCTAGGCCAAGAATGGCTAGACACTGGAAGTTCAAGACAGGCAGGACTCCCAGCAACAGCTAATTAAATTAGTGCATCAGGAACTAGTGGGGGTGGTTATTAGGAATAGGTGGTGGGAGAGGCTTAAGGATAGTATTAAGGTCCAAATATGGCCAACAGCTCACCTAAGATATGGCCAAAAAGGTGAAGGTTCTCAAGGATAGTCTGGATGGAGATTCACTAGAGGTAGATTTAGCTAAGCAGGCCCTGGAGCACATACTACAGGGTCAGGTAGTTAGGCATACGTTAAACAAAATGTCTAACAAAGACGTGAACATAGGTGCAAACCTGTGCCAGGAAGAAATCCATCGAGGTTTCTATCAATACATTTGGGATGTCAATACCCCATTGGGAAATACTCTGAGGTTGACTGGCAACATGTGCGAGGTGTTTTGGCATCATTTTGAGAGCCAATTTACCAAGTAGCCTGGTCTCTGTGATGAAGAGTTTTACATATATTTGGCTGATCTTTCCTTGAATTTTGCCAACTGAAGCAGATAGCTGTGATGGTGTGATCACAGGGGACAAAGTCTACTTAGCATTGAAGAGATTTGGCAGTGGCAAGTCTCTGCAACTGCCCTATGAATTGTACTTGAGGCTGTTGCACATCTTTGTGTCGATTTTGACTGTTGTGTTCAACAACTCGTTCTGGCAGGAGTCCATTCCCAATCTGATCTCCTGGGGTGTGAACACACTGCTGAAAAAGGGCAAGGATTTGGGGCAGGAATTAGATGATTACAGGCCCATAACTCTGCTAAACTCAGTGTTAAAGATTTTGGCCAAGATTCTGATGGAGCGTTTGTAGTCAGTTGTTGAGATTCTGTTGGGACTCAAGCAGATGTGCTGGAAAGGGCTGAACAATTCAGAACAACTGGCTAAGGGACAAGGTGTGAAGTCTGGCCCTACATGGAATCAGTGCCCCTGGTGAGGCTTGAGCCAGGGTTTTGCTGATGATGTATCCATTTTCATGTCATGCCACAGCGACATTGAGGTAGTACAGAAGGCACTTGAATGGTATAAAAAAGACACAGGAGCCAAGATTAAACACAAGTCTTCCAGTTAAGTGCCTGGAAAGGGGTTACTCTTCCAGGGCCCTTTGGTTGATGTTATATAGGAATAAAGTGTCGCTACCGACACTTGAGTTTGAACATAGATCACCAGTGAGCAAACACAGGTGATCCCATTATTGAAATAAGTAGACCACGTGACCATAGTGGAAATACATATATGTAGGAAGTAGCTGATGACTAATGATTTCTGTTTCTAGTCTATCCTCTATACTATACAGATATGCATTTCTAGTCTATCCTCTATTACTATTCAAACCGCTATTCTCTACTCTATTCACTGTACTATACAAATTACTATTCAAGCGAGTATTATTGAGCAAGTACTATTAGTGCAAGATTATTCAAAGGTGTCTGAACCAGCATTGTTCAACAGCATGCTATAGTTGTATCTGTGATTACAAAGTCTCTACTACAAGAAGCATTACCAAAAGTGACAACGAGTATTCGTTGACATCACAAAAGTGCCAAACGAGTGTTCGTTGGACTGATGGACCCATCCACATTCTTGGAATATGGTCTAAATCCTGGACTCCAGTTGGAGAAGAATTTTTTGTGGGGGTGAATGGGTCCTACTATCATCTTTTATTTTTGTTTGAATGTTTAGCTATATTTTAGTTTGTTTTGGGGGTTCATTCCCTCCCTCTCATTTCATACCATCATTATATTTTTATATATATTTTTGTAAGGACATTTGTCCATAAAGAAATTTTCATGCCATGGGGTGTTTTTGTAAGTTGTCTGTGAATATATGGTATTGTGGTATATGTAGTAGTGAATTGTGAAGTTTGTCTTCTTATGGTGAATGAGTAATGAATTGATGGATTGTAAATCTGATTAGCTAGCGCTAAGACAGTTAATGTTAACCACAGCCTCAGAGCCCACTTCCCCCTTTTTGCACTTGTGCTGCAATTATTGTATTTCACAATAATAAATCAATAGATAAGCTGAATGGAAAAAATGTGTTTGTGATCAAATATGTTCTTTTAGTTTCAGAGTATATAAACTTCCTGATTGAAGAATGCTGACTGATTTACTAAAAGATCTCCAAATATTTATCTTTAACCATAATGTCTCATAAAAAAAAGAGCTTCTACCACTGAAAGAAGCAAGAATATCTGGACAAAGAATCTCATGAGATATCAAGAATCACATAAGAAAAGAAGAACTGTTCCAGTAGAAGAACAATCACTGGAAAACAAAAGCAGGATACTAACAAAATCTAAATTGTTGGTTGCTATCTGTTCCTTAGGGCCTCCATCAAAGGAAGAACAGAACGTATAAAGGAAATCACTAAAGTATCAAATTTATGGCAAAAGAAATTAAATTTCCTAAATTTATCAACTCAAGTCATGCAAGCAAAACTAGATAAAGTGTGGAATACCAACAATGAATGTACAAAATGAGGAAAATATGATCCATTGAATGAAATTTTTGACATCCTGAAAGAAAATGTTGAATGTCGGTGTAGTGAGGATAGATGGTTATATATAATCTTCAGATCAAAAGCAAAGGATATGTTCGATAAAAAACTGGAAATACTGTGAGCTCCAAAACTAATCATCTATCCAAAAGAAAAAAATTGACCTTGCAGCTAAATTCAAGAATGGAACTTCAACAACAGTAACAACTTCAACTTCCGAATCAAGAACTGAATCAGTATCCCAATCAGAGAGTGAATATTAAAAGTTCCGAAGAACAATCTACAAAAAAAGGAACATAGCAAAACTACAGTCTTTTTCTTTTTATGTGCTGTGTCCCTTCAGAACTTAGGTGATCATGGCTCTCCATTTCTCCCTATTCGTTGTAGCTCTCAATAAGTTTTGTCCCTTTGCTACTCCCCCAGGCCATGTTCTGTCTTCCACTGGCTTAAGCCTGACAGGTATGTCATGCATTGCTTTCCCTTGTCTCTCTTCCTCTCTATTCAACCAGTGAGTATCAGATTCTCCAATCCTTCTTTTCTCATTACGTGTCCTAGAAATTTCAGATGCCTCTTCCTGATGTTAAGTATAAGCTTCCTCCTTGCTTGCATCATCACAAAAACTTTGTTGGTCCCATGCTCTGTCCATGATATCCTTAGCATCCTTCTGTAAAACCATACCTCCATTACCTCGAGTCTCTTTATCTTTGAGGAGACCATCCAACATTCGCTGCCGTAAAGGATGACAGATGTCACATAGCAGTTGTGCTCTTTTCTTTGCTAGCAAAGAAATCCTCCTGTCTCATAATACTCTGCCTAGGTTTTGGAATGCATCTTTGGCCATTCCAATATGTCTACGGATCTTAATGTTGCACTTACCATCTTCTGTCAAAACACTTCCCAGATATTTAAACTTCCACACCTGATTGATTTTATGAGCCTGACCTTCAAGTTGCATTTTGGGCTCATCCTTTTACCGATGGCCATACATTTTGTCTTGTAGATTATGCTTAGTCCCTTCTTCTCACTCTCCTTCACTACTTTCTGTAGGAGGTTTTGTAATTTTTTTCCATGTCTGCTATCAGCATTGTGTCATCTGCGTATCTTATGTTGTTAAGATTGTGGCCACCAATGATGAATCCCAGTAGGATTTCCAATTCTCTCAGAATCGCCTTGCTGTATACGTTGAATAAGTCCAGGTAGAAGACACATCCTTGTCTT